AACTTATATTAAAGTTTTTCTTCATTACCAATTTAAGCCGTCTCCAGCCATTATTACACCACCATCATCATGAGCAAGAGCTAAAATCAGATTTTGACTTATATATTTTAAATCGCCTTCGATTTACATAAGCCTACATCACACCCATGAATGCAATTCCATCCATCCCTCCCCGAAGAGTTTACAAAACAGATTTCCAATGTTTCATTTCTTACACTCCTGGTCAAAAATATTTATTCGAGATAATATTTTTTTTCTCAATTTCTATCTTTCTTTAGTATTAATTCCCCCTTAAATTCAACAACGTGATCCATCAATTTAACATTTTCTAGTCTTTAACATGTCATATGATTGCCATATGTTCTGCTCAAGCCGATTCATTCACTTATCCTTTGTCTATCGCATTTTTTATGTTTTTTAATTCTGAATTTCAGGTTTCTACAGGCTTGGCTAGTATAAACTAGATAACAGATATGAATAGTGCAGTAAAAACTACATTTATCACCTTGTTCTATTTTTTATTACACTTGCGAAGCAATTATTTAACTTATAAAGTTATACTGCAATTTATATATATATATATTTGTGTTACACATTCTTGTTAAAATACTTTAAACATAAGGCAAGCAAACCCTTATGTTATCAACTTTACCATTTCCTTACAACCTTGTACATAGTGAGATTTTTAATTTCCTGCTATGCTTATTACATAATCTATTAATAATCTTTTGATCACAGCTTCTGTCTATAGTTACATGTTTTAATAAAAATTATCTCCGATCTTAAGTTACAATCATAAGTACCGATTTTCAGGGCTCGAAATACAAACGTGGAAAAAGCAGATAATTTTTCTGGTCATGGGTAACAGGATCTATTGTGAGGAGAAACAACCACCGAAAACAGTTTTCTATAAGCCGACACTAAGATAAATCCACTGATCCAGTTGTTAATAAAACTAATTTTACTGTGCAACAATTCGATGTCGTATGTTAATTTTTAGTCCTTTACAATACTTTTTGTTTTATAAAAATCAGGCGCAAAGTAAAATATAGAATAACAAGAACGATCTCCAAATTTACGTAATACACCAAACTTACATTAACGAGTGCATGTAGGCTTAGCTTTAGTTTCATTTTTTTTTTTTTTCTATTATGGTGTTGTGTACACGATATTGGGCTTTCTAAGTTCTGCTCCATAATTGTACAACGGTAAATGTAAATACTTGCCACTTTCCTATTTCTAATGGTTCATGATTTATTAATCAACAACAAGTAATTTCTCTCCCATTACAATAGAGATTAATTCAAAACATACGAGTGTGCAGAGCTTCCAGTGACGTAACAAGGGGACGTAAGGCCCAAAACAATATTTTCCCGTGTCAACAATCGCATTCGTGCAAGAATTCAATTTCTTTTTGTTTATTCCACTGTCTATTGTGAACGTCACGATGAAAAAAACCTCTTCACTGGAAGTGAAGAAAAAGTGTCATTGACCACTCTTCAGTTCTTCAGATTATATAGCCACACAGAAACCCAATAAAACACGTTAATCAAAGTGTAGATTGAACTGGACCTCCTTCTTACACCAAAGAACATATATTTAAACTAGTACTTGAAAGTACTTGAAACTTTTCTTGCGTGTATTCTGCTCAGCGAAGACTCCTTAGAAGTCACTTTTTCTAGTCTGTTCCTTCTCGATGGACAGAATTTTCCGTCTCTTTAATCGGTATCAATTTATCGAACTTATTACGTACAATTGTCACTTTCAGGTTTTAAAACATCGTGTAGACTCCGCACATGTTTCGGAAAACTTGATGAAAATCAACTACTCTCAAATCGGCAAATGAGCGAAGTCTTTGACGGTGGGTAGTTGGTGATTTTCTTTCCTAGAGCTGACCTCGATGGGTAATTGGTGATTTTATTTCCTAGAGCTGACCTCGATGGGTAATTGGTGATTTTATTTCCTAGAGCTGACCTCAATGGGTAATTGGTGATTTTATTTCCTAGAGCTGACCTCAATGGGTACTTTGTGATTTTATTTCCTAGAGCTGACCTCGATGGGTACTTTGTGATTTTATTTCCTAGAGCTGACCTCAATGGGTACTTTGTGATTTTATTTCCTAGAGCTGACCTCGATGGGTACTTTGTGATTTTATTTCCTAGAGCT